GGGAAGAAAGCAGGTACCTAGAAGGGCAGGTTGGGTGTTTGTGTTGTTGTGTTTTGTCTTTTTGACAGAACACTTAATCTCTTACTAAACACCTGTGCTCTCTGCATTATTGTTTTATGCTCCTGGCTCTGACACCATCTGTTTCCTGAGTTTGCCCTTTCTCCTGAGACTTCCTTTTTTTAAACTGTAATTCTGGATTTTTTTTTTAGCTGTAATTTTGGAACAAAAGGTGTTAGAGACCTGTCTCCCAGGTATGAGTTGGAGTAGACGCCAAGCCCAGATTACAATGTCTGGCTCTATTTTCATGGACAAGCAGAATTAGGCCTAGAATGAAAAGTGACTGTTCTATGTTCATGCAGTGAGTGGATGATAGGCCCAGACTTGGAACCCAGGTCTCTTCGTTTCCAGACTAGAGCTGTTTCTGTAATTCATGCCCCTTGACCTCTGTTATGTTGGTCTCTGATCATTTCATTTTACTTAAAATCCACACTTGGTTCATAAGACTCTGTGGCGTCCTCCCCGCTCCCTTCTGTCCGGTAGGTCGTTTCTCACAGGCTTCCGCCTCCCCCTGAATGCCGCATTCCCTGTGGTTCATCCTGCTGGCTCCCTCTTGTCCTCGCACAGAGGGCCTGTGTCTGCCTGTGGCACCTCATTTTCTCTCTGGAATCAAGTCTTAGGTGCAACTCTCTAGCTCTGATTGTTCTCCAGACCCCTGGTTCTGATTGGCCTCCTGAATATGTGTATCTCTGGAATATTAACCCAGCAAGCCTACAGGCAGAACCAGCGTCCGTAATCCGAGTCTCTCCTCCACCCAGTCAGGCTACTTGTTTTTCCCCAAGTGTACTCAAGTGTCCTCCTGGGGGAAAGGACTGTGTCTGAGTGTTTTTTTATTTTTTTATTTTTTTACCACTAGAGGCCCCAGTGCAGAAGGATGCTGGGCTCGTCTGCTCACCCCCACCACTCTGGGTGGGGCTTTGCCATGCTGGTCCTCCTGGTACTCCCCAGACATGTCACCCTGACTCTGGTCCTTGGGTCTTAATGGATGGTTGTATCCCCCAAGCTGAGTGGTAAGCTGTGGATGGGAGGGCCTTTTCCTACCCCCCATTCCCAGGAATGACTAGTGAGGTGTTGCTTGATTAAACTCAGGTGTTTTAAGATGACATACAAACTTCCCTGGGGTTTTGGACTTGAAGACACTGAATTTAACTGCTGTTCAGGAGGTTATGCCAGCTCCACCATCCTGCTGCTTTTCCTGCTCAGACTGCCCTGCCAGGGTTCGGGAAAGTCTCTTAATGCTAAACCTTCTGAATATTTCACAAATGGAAAAAAACCCACCCCCCAAACCAGCAGACCGTCTGGCTATATGCTGAGCGAGTACATAAGCTCCTTGATGAACTTGCCTGGGGTGAATACGTTGAAAGCGTGTTTCTGCATAGCAGCAACTTTAGTGAGCTGTGAGGGACTGGGGGCACCTGTCCCTGGTGCTTTGCGTGCTGAGCATACGCGGGGCTTTGTATCTCTCTGGGCGGCACTGCACCCTCCACCTGACGCAGCTGGGGCTGAGAGGAGGTGCCTAAGCGCTAAACTCAGCATGTGTCCTCCAAAGCCTGTGCTCTTCCTGTTTTGCAAAAACAGCGAATCACAGTTGGAAGGATTCTTCCCCTGTGGGAAAAGGGGGGTGCTTTTTTTCAGATGGTAGTCTCCCCTCTCCTTCCCTCCTTTTCCAGGATCATTATTACCAAAGGAAACTACTGTTTTGTGATGGAGTGTCAAATGTTACCTGTTGAAAAGGGGGAAATTGAGACCTGCTTTCAAAAAAAACACACCAAAAACTTGTATTAGCAGAGATCCCTCATGAACCGTTCTTTCTGGCAATGAGTAGGTATAGCTAGCTTTATCTTGAGGCCCTTTTTAGCCAGGAACAATAGGAATTGTTTTACTTTTCCAGCATTGCTGGTGGTTTCTTCCTGTGGATCCATGATTCACAGTAGCCTTAAGGTTTGCTTTCTCCTGTAAGTCTTTGATCTGTCTTAAAGCCTCCTTTCCTGTCCACAGTGAAAGACCAAATAAAGGTCAAAGAAAGCTGCGAACCATCTCACTTTATGGCAGAATATGCCAAAAGTCACAGTGAAAGCTATCAGGCAATAGTAGCCTAACCAAGTGTGGGGGGGGGAGGGGGCGGGACTTGTTTTCCTTGGGGTAAAACATGGGTGTGAACTCAGACCTTTACATTGGTCAAAGTTAGGGTAGGATATAGAAAGGAATGGGTCTGTATGTATCAGGGTGTCTAGAGGTGTGCATTTTGAAAATGAAAAACTGAATTCATTTAACGAGAGTTTAAAAGGGTCGCTGTAATCCGTAATAGGCTCAGGTTTTAGGCAGTCTGATCTCCGTTATGTTCTTAGTCTTTGAATTAAGCTTTTAAAATCAGTGGACTGGCAAGATTAGACACGAAAGCACTTGGGGTCTTCAAAGGAATAATTAGTTGGCCTGCGTCTTTGGTACATTTTTTCCCTTTGTTATTTAAAAAAATTTTTTTTTTAATTGATTTCAGAGAGACCAAGGGAGAAGGGTTGAGAGAGAAACATTAATGAGAGAGTCATTGATCAGCTGCCTCCTGCACACCCCTTACTGGAGATTGAGCTCACAACCCAGGCATGTGCCCTGACCAGGAATCAAACCCTGACCTCCTGGTTCCTTGGTTGATGCTCAGCTGCTGAGCCACACCGGCTGGGCCAGTTTTCTCCTTTGTGATCAAATAGATTCTTTTCTTCAAGGATCCCTATGGTGGCCTCTGACCCCTTGGTGGCATCATAATGACACTACTGATAGCCAACTTCCATTTGTTCAGCACATAATCATGTACCAGGTACTGTGCCCAGCACGTCCTGTGGATTAATCCACAAAAGCCCTATGAAAGGGTGTTACTACTTTTATTCCTGTTGTACACATAAGGGAAGTTGCGGGTCTGTTCCCATTGACGTTGCTGGCTTTGTTTTTTTTTTGTTTTTTCCTTTCCTTCCAAATTGGTGACTCAAGGCAAACTGTTGGATACTTACCGATGTGATTATGCCATTTGGGTACAAATGGAACCCTTCATTTACTGTTCTTCTAATTTCATGGAGTCCTCTGCATCTCTGACTTGGTGTACTTGGGGGGGAGGGGGGAGTCGCTGAGATATCACTTAAGTTGAATTTGGAGGTTGTGGTGTGTGTCCCTAACAGGATTGGGAGTGGGGCAGAGTTGGCCAGGCATACTCCTGATTAGGTTTTTTTTTTCTTAATATATTTTTATTTCAGAGAGGGAGAGGTAGAAACATCAATGATGAGAGTCATCGATTAGGCTTCTTCCTTCACGTCCCCCCACTGGGGATCAAGCCCACAACCCGATCATGTGCCCTGACTGAGAATCGAACCTTGATCTTCTGGATCCTAGGTCGATGCTCAACCGATGAGGTTGGCTGGCGTGGTTCAGTGGTTGAGTGTCATGCAGGAGGCAGCCGATCAGTGACTCATCATCGTTAATGTTTCTGTCTTTCCCTTTCCCTTCCTCTCTGAAATCAATAAAAACATTAAAAATATTATAAAATGGTTAAACCAGTAAATTTTATTTAAAAAAAAAAAAAAGGTCTGTTGGCCAGTATTTTGTAACTTACTGCAGCAGGCACTGGGTGTGGTGAGTGAGGGAGGCTGAAGAGTGACATGTGGTACCTAGATTTCTGCCTAGGGCACCTGCTGTGTGGTGATGTCACTTACTGAGCTGGAGAGTATCCAGAGAACTGCCTTTTTGTGGGGGTTCAGTTCCTGATTATATATCGGGAGTGCTTTTCTCATTGGGTAATGTTTTACATGAGTTGTATGTACCTTTAATGACCACGTAGAATTCCACAACTTATTTAAACAGTTCCCTCTGTGTGGTATTTGTACCACTTTTACCGCGTCATCTTCTGTGATTATACTTTCAGGTTTAACAGTGACAGCTACCATGTGCCACACACCAGGCTAAGTTCTTTATACGCCTCATCAGAAGGTTGATAGGTACTCTTTCCATTTTACAAATGGAGAAACTGAGGCAGAGGTTAAGTCACTGCTAATAAATAGCTGAACCACACTTTTTAAAAAAAATCTTCGCCCAAGGATATTTTTTCCATTCCTTTGCAGAGAGTGTGGAAGAGAGAGAGAGAGAAGGAGACACATCGATTGGTTGCCTCCAGCACTTGCCCCGACTGGGTGGAGGCCTGCAAGAGAGGTACATGCCCTTGACTGGAATCGAACCTGGGGCCCTTCAGTCTGCAGGTCAATGCTCTAACCACTGAGCAAAACCAGCCAGGGCCCAAACCACACTTTTTAAATACATGTATTGAGATATAATTTACATAACCACAAAGTTCACCTTTCAGTGTGCAACTCAATGATTTTTAGTGTGTTTACAGAGCTTTGCAGTCATAATCTGACGAGGATATTTTCTTTATTTAAAAAAACCCCTCATACCCATCAGCCACCACCTCCTAATCTCTCCCCCCCAAGTTGAAAGCAACTAATCTACTTTAGACTTGCTTGCTTATTCTGGACATTTTGTATAAATGGGCTTATATAATATGTGGTCTTTTGTGACTGGCTCTTTTCACTTAGCCTAATATTTTTGAGGTTTATCCATGTAGTAGTTTGTATCAATGCTTCATTCTTTTTTATTGGTAAGTAATATGCTATTGTATAGACATATACCGCAGGCTCTGAACCAGGTATATCTGATTCTAAAACTCACCTCGCCACTACCTTGCCAAAGTCATTCCTGTATACCTCCCATTAAAGTAGAAGGTTCTCAGGGCACCTTTCTCACAGTAAACACTCATTAAGTATTTTAATATTAAGGGCAGGAAACCCAAATCCTCATTAACTTTTAACTCCTGGTGTCAGGTTGGGAGAAAGGGGATGCGAAGTCTCTGTGTGTCCTAAAGGAGTGTTAGAAACCTAAACATCTCTGTTCTGTGTCTAGGAGGAGGGAGCGGCAAGGATAAAAGATTGCTGGGACCACCCGGAAGCCCATGCCCTCTCCACGTGTAGCAACGCCAGTATCTTTCAGAGGATAAATGCCCTATTGGATAACTCTCTGGATTTCAGTCGAGTCTGCACTACACCCGTCCATCCTCAAGTTCATGATCACTTGCCAGGTGAGTCAGATTTGAAAACCCGGATGCTCCAGGCCTGTATGGGGCGCTGTTTCCAGGCACTCTCCCTGCGGAGCCTGTGAATCTCTGCTCACACAGGCTCCTGCTGTAGTTTCCTCCTGCACGCCCCCAACTGGGGATTGAGCCCACAACCTGGGCATGTGCCCTGACTGGGAATCGAAACCCAATCTCCTGGATCCTAGGTCGATGTTCAACCGCTGAGCCACGCCCAGCTGGGCTTAATTTAAATTTTAATTAATTAAAATTTAGAATTTATTTCCCTAGTATAATATTATGCTCCTTTTTAAAGTGCCCAGTGGCCTCATGTGGCTGGTGGGTTCTGAACTGGACACGACAGTTCAGAGGACTGTGGGACAGTCTGGCGGGACAGTGAGTGGCATCAGTCCTCTTCTGTTAGTCTTAGGGCTCTTCAGCCTGGCAGCCAGTCCCGGATCGCTCATGTCCTTAGCTTCCTAAGAGAAATTCCTGCTACTGTGTTTACTGTGGGATTTGGGGACGACTTTCATTGTGCCATATGATGTCCCGTTGTGAGACTCTCGGTCAGGGTTTGATCAGGAAGCAGAACCATGAGTAGTAGTATGGATGAAGGGGCCTATTGTAGGACTGAGACAAACACATGAAGGAAGAGTGGGAGTTGAAAGATCAGAGAAGGGACTGTTGGGGCTTACAGGGCACTCTAGAGAGCCAGACACCTCTAGCTGCCAGAGTCAGGCGTGAATGAGAGGGAGCTGGCGGGGAGGTAGAAGGCAGTTGCTACTGCACCTGGGGGTGGGCCTGGGCATGCTCTTGTCTTCAGGGGCCCACTATAGGGCAGAGAGTGGATGTGGAGGGCAGGAGAGCAGGTACCAGCTGGAACGTGCCCACCTCTCAGTGTCTGTCTCCCATTTTGTCCAGCTCTGTCGACCTGATGCTCTTTAACTTTCTCTAGCCCTCTAGGTGAGGTCACCTGTGGGGGGTGGGGCAGACAGCACACTTGGACTAGAAAAGCTGCAGTGGAGAGGCAGAGGGGGAGCCACTCCATGACGAGAAACATGTACTGTGAGATCGTTCTCCAGCCCTTCTGCAGACGCTGCCCCTTTCTCACCCTGTGAAGTAGGGAATTGGATGTGTCATTTCTCAGCCTTGGTCTACGTGGCTCCATCCCCATCTGCTGGAGTGTCAGGGCTCTGCCACTTACAGCTAAGGCTCTGTCGTCTCCATCACAGGTGGAATCACTCCCACTTTTGTGTGTGAGTTGTTTCTGATGTGTTTTACATCTTTTTGACTGAAGGATGGGACTTTAGTCAGTTGGGGGAGAGGGTATTGTGCAGAGGTCAAGGGCTAAGGCTTCTGGAATTCATACAGAGGAGGGTGTTTCTGTTATGAAATGAGGGGCTTGGACTAAGACTCCAAGGTCCCTTCTGCTTTTAATGTTCTGTGGTTTACTGTGTTTAAATGGGATTATAACCTAATTTTATGTCGTGATTGAACTCCTAATGCCAAACTTAAAATCCTTTAATAGGAACTTTTCTTTGTAAAAAAAAAAAAAAAAAATTTCAATGTTCATTGTAAAAAATTCTGAAGAAAACAAATTAGAGGGGAAAAACTATACATAACTCCCCACCAGAGATTACTATTCATGACATTTTAGTGTATCTCTTTAGTGTTTTTATATATATATGTATTTATTAAAGCGAAAGCTTTCTCGAGACACCGTGTAGTAACTTGCCCTTTCCTCATTTCGCTGTCATTCATTTTCTGTCTTTTTCAAGGCTCCGTGCGTAGCATTTTACTGTGTAGATAGATGCATTGTAGGATCCTTAACCTAGGTCCCTGGGTAGAATTCAGGGAGTCGGGTAACTTGGGCAGGTAAAAACTTAGGTCTTTTTAAATTTTTTTTTTCCACCAATGCTTACCTGAAAGGTAGCATTTCTTTCTCTTGTAAACATGGGCAACAAAACACAGTGGTATTAGCCTGGCCTGATACTTTGGCAATAATAATCCTCATCAGTAGGATGGTTTTAAGTCTCATTGCTTTACAGTCGTTGCACATGTATCTCGAAATGTTGGTGCTCATCACTACTTCCAGGTTACGATCACTGCCCAGCCAGCATGGCTCAGTGGTTGAGCAGCGACCTTTGAATCAGGAGGTCACGGTTCGATTCCCAGTCAGGGCACATGCCCCGCTTTTGGGCTTGATCCCCAGTAGGGGACGTGCGGGAGGCAGCCGATCCATGATTCTCTCTCTCATCTTTGATGTTTCTCTCTCTCTCCCTCTCCTTCTGCTCTCTGAAGTCAATAAAAACATTTTTAAAAAATTGATTAAGACAATCTAAACGTGACAGCTTTTGATACGATTTTATTTATTTAATCGTTGTTTATTGGGAATGCTTCTTAATGAGGTAAGTGAGGCATTTAATAAACTCATGTAATATTCTATGACTCACTTATTGCTGGAATGACTCAGAGTTTTCAGCACCAGATATATTTCTATTGTTTGTTCGTAGAGCTGGGCTCTGAGTAAACGTGTTCGCATGAATAAGTATATGGGGCGTGAAGACGCTGTAGAGCAGGTGTCGCTCGGTTGAACTCCTTGAGTTTTGTGCCCCAAAACGTTGGTCCTCTCTCATTATTTTTAGTCATTTACATGCTGACAGTTTGATTTTCTCATCGTATTTGTTGAGAAGGAACTAGAAACCACCCAGTTTGTGGAAAGATTTGTCACCTAAGTCAGCAGTCACTGAATTCCTCAGTTCTTTTGGAAGTACACCAAAACTGCTTTATGAAAATTTCAGATGACTACTGACTGCGCCTGCTGTTCTTTCACGCAGAGACCTTGTTGAACTCACTTTACCTGAAGAGCTGAGAAAGCTGACGTATTACTCACTGAAAAACACACCTTTGCCAATACGACACCCTAAAGTGCTTTTGTCCTGTTGCGTGCTTTAACGTTTGTTGTGTCAAAACCCTGCATCTGTAGATTTTAACTTAATTTGCTTGGGGTCATGTCAGCCATGCAGTCTGATTTAATGAAGTCAGTTCTTATCGTCAAACCAATTTTGCTTGCTTTTTGTCATAAAAAGGGTGGGGGGCTTTGTTTTCCCTGACCTTGGTGTGAAGTTCTCAGGGTCACGGCAGCAAGCAGTGTTTCCCAGGGTAGCATTGGGTGTGTGTGGTTCGTGGTTCTCATTGTGGTTCAATTCGCATGTCTTTGAAGACGAATGATGTTGAGCACTTTTTCACATGCCAATTGGCTGTTTATATATCTTTGCAAAATGCCTTTTCAAGGTTTCATGCCCTTTTAGAAATTGTTGGTTTTTTTTTTCTCCTTTTATTTTTGTTCAGACTTCCTGTGTACTCTAGACATCAGCCGGGTATCTAGTGGTCATGGATATCTGTGGTCAGATGTGATCGCAGGTATTTCCTCCCTGGGGGTAGCCTGCCTCAGTGTCTTCTTAACGGTGTCTTGATGAGTAGAAGTTTTTAATTTATCACAGTTTTTCCTCAGTGGTCATTGCTTGCTTTGTCCTCTGTAGGAAACCTTTGCCCTCAAGTCACAGAGATGATCTGTTTTCCTAGAGAAGCTTTATACTTTAAACTTCTACGTACAGGTCTCTCTGATCCATATGAAGTTAATAGTTGTATATGGTGTGAGGTATTTGACTGTTCCTGCACCATCGGTTAAAAAAAAAAAATCTTTACCCACTGGCTTGCTCGAAGGCCACTATCTTACTGGGCTTGCATTGATTGTACAGATTGATTCTGTGGGAATTACCTTTTTAACAATATCAAATCTTATACGTGAGCATGGTACGTTGCATTGTAAAATCTACACATTTGTGATATTTATTGTAAGAAGTATTATAGAAATAACTTACAGGACTCATTTGGAGATGATTAAAAGCAGCCAAGACTAAGCTAACCCAGCGATCGTATTTTTACAGTAGTACATACGCAGTAAACGTAACGTTCTCTCCGATACCTCTACCTGTAATGTGGTTTTTTAAAAATATGTCTTTATTGATTTCGGAGAGAAGAAGGGAGGGAGAGAGAGAGAGAAACATCAGTGATGAGTCATTGATTGGCTGCCTCCTACACGCCCCCTGCTGGGGATTGAGCCTGAAACCTGGTTCATAGGTCGATGCTTAACTACTGAGCCATGCTGGCCGGGCTGTAATGTGATGTGATTTTTAACATCTAGCTAAAATGGAAAGGCAGTTGTCCTCAAGTACCCCAGCCATCTTGCCTCCTCTCTCTGACTCCCTGCTGTACTTATTAACACGTAGATGAACAAGGAGTTCTCCAGGGTGTGAGCTCTGGAGAGCCTGGCCTTTCGGGAGGGTGAGGAGTGTCAGAGATGGCTAGCAGGTGAGCCAGGGCCTGCACTTAGATCCACGAATTCCTGGGTGCATGGGGCCTTTCTGCCCAAATGCCCTTCCAATGGGCCTGCCACTTTGGCCTGGTGTCTTTCAGGTTGAGGTGGGGAGGTGGTGTTAGTTGTGCAGATCAGCACTGCTCAGACAGTGTGTGTGCACCTATTTAGTGGGAGTCTCTCAGAATGCAGATGAATTCCACAGGTCTCAGGTGGGGCACACCTGAGGTTCTGTATTTACAACAAGCTCCTATTGATGCTGGTATTGCTGGCCTGCCACACTGGACTTTGGGCAGCAAGATGGTAGTCCCTGGGTAGGTTCTTGCCTGGAGTATGGGGCCACCATATACACAGGTACCCTGGTTTTAGGTGGGGAGGGGAATGGTGGCTCCTGGATCTAGATGCCCTCACATTGGGGCGGAAAGGAGAGACTACGTGGGGTCTTAAATGTGGATGTTTATAAAGGAAACATTATGTTTTGTAACTAATATATACCGGTTATTTTAAAAGTATGTCTTTAGCTCAGGGGAAGAGTGGGCAGAGGGAGCAGGTTGGGTGGGGGCAGCACCAGCCTGTGTGCAGTGCTGGACCCAGGCTCTGACAGACGCAGACAGGGAGCCCGGCGGGGATGACGGGGATGGATGACACAGCAGCAAAGCTCTAAAAAAAAGTCCTCCAAGGGAGGAGGGCCTCACACAGACTGGCCCTTCCCCTCTAGGCTGAGGCTGGTGGACATAGCTGGTCCCGTACTGCAGGAGGTGCTGGCCAGCACTCCTGTGGCTGACAGCATTGTCCTTCCCTCTGCCCACCTCAGATCCTGTCGTGGGCAGGTCCCAGGTGGGCCCAATTCCCTGGGTGTCTGGTTACTTCTCCTGTCACGTGGGGCGACAGCAGGGTGGGTGCTGCCAGCCTGGGCTAGGGGTGTGCAGCCTGCCCATCTCCCTCCTTTCTGAGGGTCACGTTGCAAAAAGACGGATGCAGAGAGGACGCTGGTGAGGACGAGATGGTGGAGGTGCCAGAAGCTTTGGGCAGAGCTTGTCTTTGTTGCTGGAGCTGTGAGTGGTCACAGAAATAGGGCCTAGATCCTGGCAGCACTCTGATGAGAGGGGACACAGGCAACTGGCGGCCTCAGTGATGCTCACAGCTGGCGGATGGCTCGAGGTCCCTGGAAGGGCAGAGTGGAGGGGATGCAAGGCCCTGAACCGGGGCGTTGTGAGGCCTTAGACCACTTCTGAAACTGTTTCTTACATTCTGGTCTGTCAGACGCTGGGGAATGTTTGCCCATCTAGGCCTACAGTGGCAGGAGGGA